GACAGAGCGAGAGTAAGAGTGAGAGAGAGAGAGAAAGAGTGAGAGTGAGAGTGAGAGAGAGAGGGACAGAGCAAGAGTAAGAGAGAGAGAGAGAGAGAAATCAATCTCTTAGGAGGATGGCCATGCAGCAATCCCTTCTCTTCCATCCTCTCAGGGTTCTGGGCACACATGCACATGTGCCCAACACGGTTTTCAGGCTGCCGGGTCCAAGATTGAAGCTACAGAGTCAGTCACGTGGGATCCAGTGCCTTAACCACCATGCCACCTGCTGGCCCTCTGCAAGAACACCTTCACCGCACAGGAAAATGTACACAATGTTACATGGAAAAGGATGGGACTGGCCTGCGGACTAGCTGTTAAGGGAACCAGATGCCGTATGGCCAGCTGTGCAGTTCGAGTCCCAGACCAGGCAGCTTGAAAAACATGCCAGGTACATGTGTGTGCATGCCCCATATCTCTCCAGGAGGAGGGAGCGCAGTGTGGCTATGCCCACTGAAGGTGAGTTCTCCTTTCTCTCTTTCTCTGATGAGCACACCTGCCCTCTGGCAATTTCAAAAAAAAAAAAAAAAAAAAGAGGAGGAAGAAAGAAAGAAAAAAAAAAACGTAGATAAAACAGAGTACAACAATTTGTTTGAGAAACACAAGGGGAGAGGGGTGACTGTGGGATGACTATGAAACTACATGCCTATATATAATAAAAGAAAATGCTTGTGAGAGTGTTAAGGGGGAAAAAAGCAAATTTCAGGATTACAAGTATACAGATTTCAATGATAAAAACAAGGAAAAAGGGACAAACTAGACTTGCAGGGCATCAAGCGGCTGGCTGTTTCATGGTGGTGAGGCCCTGCTGCTTTCTAATCTGTCAAATGGATGTATTCTTTGCTTATCTTTTTTTTAATTTTTATTTTTGAGAGGTTTTTGCTATAGGGCGCGTGTGCTCGTCAGACAGACAAGAGACAGAGATAGAAAGTGAGAAATCATCCCCCAGGGGGGATGGCCACGCCGCAATCCCTTCTCCTCCATTCTCCTCTCGGGATCTTGGGCACGCATGCACACGTGCCTGGCGTGAGTTTAAGCCACTGGGTCCGGGACTCGAACTGTGGTCGACTATGTGGGAGTTCAGCGACA